GGTGGTCGCTTTTCAAGGTGAGTGCACAGCGCGGGCGCTCACCAGGGCACTACTTCTTCAAATACGTGCTGATCCCGCAGGGCACGCACGGCTACGGCAAGCGCGGCTGCGCTGGCCGCGGCTGGGAATATGAGGGCGAGGTGCACAGCAGCAACGCGATTGCACAGCTGGACGGTTTGGTCGGCCACATGCTCGAAGAGGACTACGACGAGGACTTCAACCATTTGCACACATCGGCATCATGTGCGACGGGACGATGTACGCCGGGCGGGGCAACACCGCATGATCCTCTGCGTCTCGGCTCACTGACCGAATAGCGCACGCCTGCTGCGCGGCGCGCCTTAGAGTTGGCCTGCTCGGGTTTCGAGTAGCAAATGTTGACGGTGACCACTCGCGCTGGCGCTGGGTTTCTGTTGTAGTGTAGGGCCTACGTGCGGTAGGCGGTAGCCCAGTCTGCAGTTTTGAGCCACGAGCCACTACCAATACGCTATTGAACCCCCAACGCGTCACGTCCGCACGTCGTCGCTCGCCGCCTCGCTCGCCGTGCGCTCCCTCGGCCCTTGGGTCGCCGGCTTCGCGCGGCCCCTTGCCCGGGTGTGCTACACGGTCGCGCGGCGCGCCCAGCCTCATCACAAGTCGACGTTCCACAGATCGACCGCGGCCCGGGGGCTGGCAAAAGTGGTGGCAGTCTACGAAAAAGTCGAGCGGTGCACCGCTCTACCTCGGCGCGGGGATGGCGCTCGTGGCCAAGCCCGGAGATTGCGCCCGAGACGGTCCCGAGATGATTGAGTTTGAGATCGCGCCAGGCTGATTCAGCCCCGGGCAAGAGCGGTTCTTCTTAACGTGCGTGTGCGAGAGACTTCTTGGTAAAATTCTTGCGGTCGGCGAGAAGCTATCGCGGCGTGGGAAGAAGGCGGTGGCGAAGGAGGCGGGCGAGGTGGTATCACGCGAGGAAGGCGAGGCGATTTATCGCGCGACGCTCGAGTCGCTGTTGGCGTCCACCGGGTGGACGCCGCGCGCCGCGGAGGAGATGGCGCGCGAGCAGCAGCGTGCGCATGTTCGGCAGATGCGCTGGGCAAGGGAGCACGGCCGGGCGGGGGGAGCCGGTCCGGTGCTTTGACGCGGAGGAGTACGACGAAGGCGACGACGCTTTCGACGCGCTCTTCGACGGGGGCTCGGGGCACGGGTGGGATTCCTCTTCGGGGGGCGGCGCCTTCTTCTAGGCGCCCACTTGACCCAACATAGAGGCGTTGTGGGCCTAGCTTTTGGCATATATAAATTCTTCCGGTGTTGTGCGAGAGATAATATGGCAGGTTTTAAGCCGTTTTAAGCCTAGGGGGCCCTAAGGGACAGTTACGACAGTCATGCTCACCGCCACGTTCGCCGGCCTCGCGTTCGACAAAAAACACATGTTTAACATGGGTTTTTTAGAGAGAAATGCAGCATGCGCGGCGGGGAGGCCGTGTTCATTGAGGGGTTCTACTTTGACAAGGGGAAGGCCAGCGGCGCCAACACATCCTAAACTACATGAGGGCGGCGCGGCGGCACACTCAGGGGTCCGGAACACCCCCCCCCCCCCCACACAGAGCTCTCTGCTGCTGGGGGGGTCAGACCCCCCCCCCCTCCCCCTCCCCTCCCCTCCCCTCCCCTCCCCTTCGCCGCCACCAAAGGAAAACGGTCGGCCGCCATCCGAAAAGGGGGTCCGGCACCAGGCTGGACTGGGAGAGCTCGAGCGCGTCGAGCTCCGGCGCTGCCTCCTCGCCGAGGGCGGCGGCCAGCGCGTTGCAGCCCTCGTCGCCAATCTGGAAGTTGCCTTCGAGATAAGGCCACCTGAGCCGCGGCGCTGCCCCCTCCTTTCGCTTGCCGAGGGCAGCAGCCAGCGCCTTGCAGCCCTCGTCGCCAATCTGGTTGAAGCCGAGCTCGAGCGTCTCGAGCCGCGGCGCTGCCCCCTCCTTGCCGAGGGCGGCGGCCAGCGCCTTGCAGCTCTCGTCGCCAATCTGGTTGAAGCCGAGCTCGAGCGTCTCGAGCCGCGGCGCTGCCCCCTCCTTGCCGAGGGCGGTGGCCAGCGCCTTGCAGCCCTCGTCGCCGATCTTGTTGAAGCGGAGATGGAGATTCTCGAGCCGCGGCACTGCCCCCTCCTTGCCGAGGGCGGCGGCCAGCGCCTTGCAGCCCTCGTCGCCAACCTGAGAGTTGCCTTCGAGATAGAGCTGCTCGAGCCGCGGCACTGCCCCCTCCTTGCCGAGGGCGGCGGCCAGCGCCTCGAAGCCCTCGTCACCGATCTTGTTGTCGCCGAGATCGAGCTCCTCGAGCCGCGGCACTGCCCCGCTCGCGAGGACCTCCGCCAGCTGCGCCGCCTCCGCGTTGCCCCATCCGAGTCCGCGGTAGTCCAGCTTGGTCGCCTTGCCAAACTGCTCCTCGAAGGCGGCCTCGTACAGCTGCTTCACCAGCGGCTTGTCGTCCTTGCCGTTGGTGAAGCTCTTCGTCTCCAGCTCCGCCGCGAACGCAGAGGGCAGCAGCGGAGGGCGCCGGCCGCCACCCTTGGTGCATTCGTGTCGGAGGCTGTAGTAGTCGTACTCCTCGCCGTCGCGCATCAAGCCGAGGTCGAGCGAGAGGGCGCCGGCCTTGGTCAGGCTCGACCAGGCGCTCTCGGTGGCGCACCAGCCGCGGTCAACGTACTTGGCCACGTTGGTGCCCTCTGCCTGGTCCTCCGTCTCGTGGCCGTCCGGGAAGGAGGTCAGCCGCAGCACGGTCGTCTGCGGGTGGGAGTAGAGCGTGCCGAGGCAGCCCTCTGGCTCCAACGTGGACACGCCCATAGCTGGGGACACTACTAGGTCACGCATGGCATCAGAAGTTTTATCTCTGGGCCCCGAAAGGCATCTCTAGCAGCGTCGTTACGCATGCGCCCTCCCCTCCTGGGCGCATACGCCTCACGTCTCGACAGAGCATAAGCCCTTGGCGTGTGACGAGACGAGTTCTTCGCCATCGCAGCGAGCAGCAAGCCACTCTCCGCAGCAGCCGGAGGCATCGCCGCAGCACTGTCTGCGCCGCGGTCCCGCACCCGTCGACGAAGCTCCCCCCGCGGAAGACCGCGCGTAGCGACGCCTTGACGATCGAGATGAGCGCGCTTGAAGCTCGCCCACCTACTGCCCCTGAGAGTTGGTTACCGAGTGGGATCAGCTCCCCCCCTTGGGATCGAAGCCGCCACACCTCGCACCCAACATCCCAGGCAGGATCAGAGAAAGACTCCGCACCGGACACCGCCCGGGCACAGACCCCCTACCCGCCCAGGACCGGGTGCGCTTCTGGGGAGATAAAATTCTTCCGGTCTGGCGCAGCTCAGAGAATGCTCGCTCGCTACCTGGTGCTCACCTGCGCAGCGTGCGGCCACGCGCTCCGGCTTCCGCAGCCTCCTGTAGGCCGCCGCCAGGCGCTGAGCTTCGTCCTCGGTGCGGCCGCCTTCGGTGGCGGTGGCTCCGGCGCGTTCGCCGATGAGGCCCCGATGACGCCCGCCGAGTGCAAGGCGAGCTGCTTCAAGGAGTGCAACACAGTCGCGCCCGGGAACAAGTCGTACTGCGCGAACCAGTGTGATAGCTTCTGCGACGCCTCGGGCGCGGCCGCGGCCGACAAGCCCGCCGATCTGCCCGACGTCAGCAAAGACTTGGGAATCTTCGGCGACAGCGGCGTGGGCTACAGCAAAGGATTTGAGGACCTGTTTGCGACGGCGTTCGGAGCCAAGCGGCAGTCGAAGAAGATCAACGAGGCGAACGTCGGCGAATTCGCCAGCGAGGTGGGCGAGGCGTTTAGGACAGCGGTGTCGGGAGCCGAGAAGTAAACTGCGGCCGCACATCGCCGCAGAACGTCTCAAGCAGGTACAGTAGCACGACCCGCGTCCAGTGTAATACGGCGGAGCATAGAAGTGTTCTACGGACGTGCATATTCTCACTGCCATCTCGCTCACCGGAGCCTCGGACTCCACAGAGCCGCGGCGCGCTCACACCAGGAGCGCGCGCACCTGGCGTGTGGCGACGCCGCCCGCCGCCTTGCGGCTCGGATGCTCCTCGCGCCGACTTCCCGCCGCCCCGCTGGCCCCTGGGGGTGGAGACGAGACACGCCACACATGCAGTCGGCGCAAGTGCGACTCGACTTAATATTACCGCGCACGGGCGCGAGAGCGACGTATCACAGCTCATCCTTGCCCACAAGCGCCACGTCGCACGTGCACTTGTGGATGCGATCGAGATCTGGGTACTTAGCAGCGGCTTGGTTCCCATGCTGCACGAGCGCAGCCTGCAGGTGGCCCGTGTGTGTCGCCGTACCCTGATGCGCGGTGGCTGTTCACAACCGCAGCAATAGTCTCGATTCCGGCGTCGTCCAGATGTCCCAGCATCGTAAATAAATAAATAAAACAGAGGAGATGGGTAAAAAGGAAGAACAGGTCCCCGCCCTGCGGTCTTTGTGCAGGGTTCTTTGTGGGTGTGGTCGGCGACTAGCCGGGGTCGTCCTCCCGATGGGGGACTAGCGTCGTACCGGTATCGGCGCTGTTTATTAAATGAACTCGGGGGCACAGGACGCGGCACAAACGGGGTACACCAAAAGGCACGGGCTGTCTGCACGGCGTTCACTCGAACGCCATGCACATGGCGCGGAGCAGCCCCGGGTTGGTGTCGAACCCGAGCGGGTCCTCCTCCCAATCCCGGCGCCCACCCTCCGCGTCGTCCTGCTCATCGTGCGGCGTCGAGCACCCTGCCGAGGCACAGGATCGTCCCCTTGGGAACGCCTGCCCCTCGCGCGCGCGGGAACTCTCCCTGCACCGCCATCACGGCGCTGTGGGTGGTGTTTCGACACCGATATCGTCAAGGCTCAAAGTCCCGGATTTTTCGCCTTTTTCCTTTTTCGCCGCCCGGCGGCGCCAAGCCGGCGGGCGCCCGGTTTGGGCGCTTACCGCGCGGTGCTGGCTGTTCGCTCCAACCAGAGTGCCGCCCCTCGGCCTCAGTCGCCACATGGCCGCCAACCGGCATCCCGAGTCCGAGCCGGCTCTACCCGCGTCGGAGTCCTCCCTCGCCAGTGTCGTCGGGAGCAACTTGGCTGCGGCTGTATCCATCGCCGCTCAAGCGGGAGCTCGCATCGACGACGTGAACGAGGTGTTTTTCGAAGTGCTGACCAGGATCGAGGAGATATCTACCCTCAATGCAATCCTTGATCTCGTCGAGTCTGTCTTTTTGCGCGCCCTTTTCCACGAGCTCAAGCACATCTCGCACCAGGTCTATTACCATGACACGGACGACGCAAGCAAGGTTGCTCACTTCCAGAATGCCTGCGCCCTGGTTGAAGAGTACGCGCCGCAGGCCAAGCAGCTCGAGGTGGCAGTCCTTATTTCCACCTCGCACCAGTACCACCTGTCCTACGTGAGCAGCCCCAAGAAGGACCTGCTCAGGCGGTGGCACTGCTGCCTACGGGACCTGATCGCCCGCACTCCTCTGGGCGAGCTTCTGCACCACCCAGCTGCACGCTTGCCTCGTGTCCGGTGGAGGCTCCGCGTCGGATTTTTTGGCATCGACAAGCTTCAGAAATTCAGCAGCGTCTACCGCGATAGAATGAACGTCATTCAGGGCCTCGACAGCAGGCGCTTTGAGACGTTTCTCATCGTGTCTGCCCAGTACGCTGCCTCGCCGCCTCGCGACCTTGCTGGGGCAGATTTGCTATGGGGCTCCGTCGATCATGTGGTCGGTTGCGATGTGCACGATCTGCGCGCCGTGCTGACGCAGGTCGGCGAGCTGCACCTCGACGTCCTCGTCTACCCAGAGATCGGGATGCACCCACTGACCTGCCTGACAGCCTACGCGCGGCTAGCTCCAGTGCAAGTCACCACCTGGGGCCACTCGCTCACCTCCGGCATCCCGACGGTCGACTACTATTTCTCGAGCGCGTGGTACGAGCCCACAGATGCGGAGGCGAACTACTCGGAGACGCTCGTGCAAATGCGCAGTCTATGCACGTCGTACCCTGACCTCAGCATCAAGCACCGTGTGCGCAAAGGGGGCGCCGACTTCACCTCCACCCTGGAGGTCCTGCCGCCGCCGCCCACAAAGCTCGTCTGCTGCATGCAGACAAGCTGCAAGGTCAACCTGCACTTTCTGCGGCGCACAATGCCTCGGATCCTCGATGGCGCTCCAGACGCGGTCTTCCTATTCATGCGCGAGCACTTTGCTTCTGCGACGCGCGACGCCATCTCTGAGGCACTAGCAGGCCAGGTCCTCTTTCTGCCGACGCTGCTGTTCGGCACCTTCCGCACCGTCATTGCCCGCTCGACAATCTTGCTCGACCTCCACCCGTTTGGAGGCTGCAACACGGCGCTCGACAGCTTCCTTGAGGGGCGTATCATCGTCACACTGCCTGGCTCCGAGCTGCCGGGCCGCTTCACGCAGGGGTTCTACCGCCGCATGGGCGTGGTCGACCCCATCGCGTCCACCGAGGATGAGTACGTCGACCTCGCGGTGCGCTTCCTCAACGACAGCAAGGAGCGCCGGCGCGTCGAGCGGCTGATTGAAAAGCGCCGCAGCGTGCTATTCAACGACCAGGCCAGCGTCGCGGAGTGGGAGGACACCCTGCTGCTCGTCTCGCGGCCGTGGGTGACGCTGATGCGGCGCAAGGGCGGCGACAGAGCAGGAGAGGACAAGCGCGCGTGCGCGGGATGGTTGCCTCGCTTGGAGTTTCGTGGGTGTTTTGGTTGCGTCTGTACTGTGTGAAGTTTGTCACGTTTGACACAAAAAGGCGATACGCCTGCTCTCGTCTCCCTCACTCGACAATGTCATTCTCCCTGACGTACGTCGTCCTCTCAACGTCCGAGAGCGCCGGTGTGGTTTGATTTTGGGAAGAGAATGGCCGGTCGAGGGGCCGCAGCGGCTGCGGCTCGGACGCTGACGCCCGGCGCACCGACGAGCGGAGCGCCTCGAGCAGCGCGGCCTCTTCCTCGGTCAGCCCGATGGCGGCCTCGGACGACTTTGCCTCCGACGCGAGTGCGGCGAGCGCCTGGCTGCGGGCGCGCTCATCCTCGCGCGGCGGCGGCGGCGGCAGCAACGGCGGGCGCCGCGGCGGCTGCCGCGGCGGCTGCGGCTGCCGCTGCGGGTGCGTGTGCGTGTGCGTGTGCGGTGGCGGCGGCGGCGGCGGCGGCGGCGGCGGCGGCGGCGGCGGCGGCGGCGGCGGCGGCGGCGGCGGCGGTGGCGGCGGCGGCGGCGGCGGCGGCGTAGGCGGTGGCGGCGGCGGCGTTCGGTCTGTTGAGGCGGACGCGCGGCTCTTGGGGGCGACCGGAGGGGTCTGGCGCCCTGCCGCCTCCGCAGCGCGCTCCGCAGCTCCCTCCCTCCGCGCGCCTGGGGGAGGGTTCGGCCAGGTACACTTCTCCACACGCACACAGGAGGTTGTGGGGCAAGGGCTAGGCAATCCCTCGCGACTCCACGTCCGGTGTGTCCGCGCGCCTGCCGTCTAGGAAGTGTCTAGGAAGTGTCTCGGAAGCCCGGTGTGTCCGCGCGCCTGCCGCCTCCAGCGCCGCGTTGTCGCGCGAGAATGGGTCGACAGCGCCCGATCGTCCGTCTGCGGAAGGTCGGCGCAACGTCTCCTCACCAAACGCAGCGGGGCGGTGCTCATAGCTCATCTCGGGCAATCTCGGGTAATCTCGGGTCATCTCGACCTGCAGTACCCCAACGCTGTCGCCGCAGGTCGACTAGCAAGCCGTGCTCCGCCACCTGCCCGAGATTACCCGAGATTACCCGAGATTACCCGAGATTTCCCGAGACTAGCAAGCCGTGCTCCGCCACCTGCCCGAGATTACCCGAGATTACCCGAGATTACCCGAGATTTCCCGAGACTAGCAAGCCGTGCTCCGCCACCTGCCCGAGATTACCCGAGATTACCCGAGATTACCCGAGATTTCCCGAGACTAGCAAGCCGTGCTCCGCCACCTGCCCGAGATTACCCGAGATTACCCGAGATTACCCGAGATTTCCCGAGACTAGCAAGCCGTGCTCCGCCACCTGCCCGAGATTACCCGAGATTACCCGAGATTGCCCGAGATTGCCCGAGACTAGCAAGCCGTGCTCCGCCACCTGCTCGACCAGCTCGGGTAATCTCGGGTAATCTCGGGTAATCTCGCGTAATCTCGGGTCATCTCCGCCACCTGCTCGACCAGCTCGGTGGCCTGCTCACAGCTGCAGCTGTGAAGAGACGCTGCTCACACCCACAACCGCCGGCGGTGGACAGCTCGGCGGCCTGCTGCCGCTGTCCCCCGCGCTGGAGGCCGGCGACGTGCTCGACGATGAGCCTCACCTGTGAGTTGTCTCGAGGTCTCGAGGTCTCGAGGTCTCGAGGTCTCGAGGTCTCGAGGTCTCGAGGTCTCGAGGTCTCGACGATGAGCCTCACCTGTGAGTTGGAGAAAAAAAGAAAAAGTCTCCCGCTCGCCGACAACTTGTCACTGGCAGGGGGGACGCTCGACGAGGAGCCGCGCCCGCTCGTCGGTCAGTAATCTCGGGTAATCTCGGGTAATCTCGACGAGGAGCCGCGCCCGCTCGTCGGTCAGTAATCTCGGGTAATCTCGGGTAATCTCGACGAGGAGCCGCGCCCGCTCGTCGGTCAGCGACGCCTAAGGCACAGGTGCAGGTCAACCAGCCCATGGGGAGGATCCCTTGGAGACGTCTCCGACATCTCGACGGCGCGGTGCGCCTACAAGAGATGACACGCGCCTCCAGAAGAAGAAAGGCAGCGCGGTCCTCGTCGTCGGCGAGGGAACGCCTCCCGCGCCGCAGCCTCCCTCCTTCCGTCTGACGCCTCCCTCGCCGCCTTCCCCTCCCTCGCCGCCGCAGCCTCCCTCGCCGCCGCCGCCTCCCTCGCCGCCACAGCCTCCCTCACCGCCACAGCCTCCCTCGCCGCTGCCTCCTTCGCCGCCGCCGCCTTCCCCTCCCTCGCCTTCCCCTCCCTCGCCGCCGCATCCCTCGCCTCCGCATCCCTCGCACCCTCCCCCCTCGCCGCCCCCGCACCCCAGACGGCGTGTGCAGACCCTCCAGCCTCCTCCTCCCCCTCCGCCTCCGCCTCCTCCGCCTCCTCCGCCTCCTCGTCGCCGTCCTCGAGCCTCCGGTACCTGCCAAACAAGGAAACCTCGCCTCCGCAACTCCCGACCTGCTCGTCGCCGTCCGACAGCACTCCAGTGTGTACCCCGTCCCCCCGCGCCGTCCCCCAGCGCCGCCCGCCGCCGCCGCGCGGCCCGCCGCCGCCGCGCCGCCCGCCGCCGCCGCCGCGCCGCCCGCCGCCGCCTCGCCGGTCGCGCCGCCTCCGAAGAATGCTTGCCTGAGTGCGGAAGCGTCGGCCCGCGGCCCGCCGCCCGTCGGCGCGAAGAAGGCGCCTGCTCATGGCTGGACGTGTCGTGGACGTGTCGTGGACGTGTCCGCCGTTTCGGCGCGGAAGAGGGCGCCAGAGATGAGGGGGATGGCCTGCGGGGGAAGGGGAAGGTGAGCTTCGCCACACACACACACGAGGGTGGTGGGGCAACGGTGGGGCAAAAGGGCCGGGCAACCCTCGCGACCCCCCGCCCGGACAGGCAAGCAGCAGGCCTTGCCTTCAGAGTGCAGCTCCCAGTGCAAGTGGGCGAGCGGGCTTGCGGGCGAGGGGTGGCCTTGAGCGGAAAAGTGCTCTCGACCACCTCGATGCGAGATCAGCCGAGATTAGCCGAGATTGGCGGAGATCGAGCGGAGGCGTGCTCTCGACCACCTCGATGCGGCGCGCCATCATGCGGTGCAGCCCTGCGGCAGGAAAAAAAGAAAAACAAAGCCGCCTCAGCTGCGGCCCCCCCACTCGAGTAGTGTCCGCCGGCCAGACGGCACCGTGCGCTCGCCGGCGTGAGCTAGCAGAGGCTACGCCGAGTGCGCGCTGCCCTAGGGTGCCGGCGTGCCAGTGTGCTAGAGTGCGACGACGTGGTAGCGTGACAGTGCGCGGCAGACCGTACAGCAGCGCCGTCAGTAGGAGCGGGGTCGACCAGTATCCGGTGTGGTGCAAGTAAAAGTAGGCGAGCGCCGTGAGCATCAGCGCCTGGCCGGCACACCTCGGCTGTCACCTCGGCTGTATCTCGGCTGTATCTCGGCTGTACCTCGGCTGTCACCTCGGCTGTACCTCGGCTGTATCTCGGCTGCACCTCGGCTGTACCTCGGCTGTATCTCGGCTGTACCTCGGCTGTATCTCGGCTAGGCTGAGCATCCGCGCCCGGATACCTCACTCACTCATCTGAGGACACTGCTTCGGTGTGATAGTGCTAGCGGTGGGCGGTGGCTAGAAGAGCGGATAGTGCAGCAGCCAGGGAAGGGGCGGCGGCGAAATCGCCTGCACGCAGCGGCTGAAGAGCCGCGACGCGAGCTCAAACTCGAGGAGGATGCCGTCGACCGCCGTGTTCATCGACCCGTCCGGCCCGCGCAGCGCGAGGCCCGGGCCGAGCATCGCGATTGTCGTCGTCCCGAGCACGATCGTCAGCGCGAGCGACATGGTGCACGTGAGCCCAGTCACGTACAACACGCGGGCGAACCAGTGGGCCTCCTGGTAGTAGTCGCGCTTCGTGTAAAGGAAGCTGAAGTAGGCGAGCCCTCCGATTATTGCGGCCACAAAACCGACCTGGCGGCAGTTCTGCACGTACAGCTCGAGCTCCGTCTCGCGGATCGCCAGCAGCTTCACCTTGGTCTGGTTCTCCAGCCGATGCTTGTCAGCGATGAGCATGTACGTCGGCCCGCCTGTCGCTCGCCCGGCGTCGAGCCTGCAGGATCCGCGAGAGCCAGCAGCGCCCCGCTTGTTAAACAAAAGAACTCTGTCTGACAACGGATCGCGAGTAACGGGTTTGGCCCATGCGCGTGCTCTTCCTCTTGCTCGCCGCGCGCTCGGGAGCCGGAGTGGCGGGGTCGGAGCTGCTGCAACGGCGCGAGTGGCCGCGAGGGGTGGTGCTGGGGCTCTCCAGAGAACGAGGCCACGGCGCGGCGCTCGCGGCGGCGCACGGGGCAGCTTTGAGCAGTGCAGCGCCTCAACAGCAGCTTCAAGCAGTGCAGCGCAACGCCAGCTACCTCTCCAGAGCTGCGCGGCGGCTGGCGGGCCTGTGGGAAAGTGCCGGGCCGCGTGCTCGGAACGCACACTCGGCTCGCTTGCCGGTGGCCGAGTCAGTCTGGATGGCGAGAAGCGCCAAGGCCTTCCCTGCATTCTGGGCGCTGCCCAGCAGTGCGCAGTACTCTCGCTGCGCCGACGGGCGGCCTCGATGCGGATTGCCGCGAGTGGCGTGGTGGCCTCCATCGCCGGAATCAAGAACCCGTCGGGGAGGAAGCTGCTACGATTTGTGGGGAGGCGGGATCTCGCGGACCTAGCGGAAGCGATGGTCAAGGAGGTGCTACCTCACGTCGATCGCGAGGGCATGCAGGTCGGCATGAAGGGGAAGGACGGCAGCACAGTCGGGCTCAGCCTCATTGCGACTTTCCCAGAGGCGGAGGACCAACCATGGCATAGGGATGCGAACAGGAGGAACGTCCTCTCCGTCATTATAGCGCTGAACCGACGGCAGTTTCGCATCTTCGACCAAGAGCCCATCTGGCTCGAGCGGGGCGACGCCCTCGTCTTTGAGGCGGACAAGCTGTGCCACGGCGGGGCGGGCCTCGGACCAGGGGCGGACATGGCCGTCGCCCTCTTTGCGTACGTGGGCGACGTCAACGAGTCCGTCGTGACCACGAGCTTTGGGTGCACAGCGGCGCAGCGGGCGCGGGCGTTGACTGATGAGGAAATGTTTGCGGTGCTCGAGGAGTTCGCCGACGACGAAGAACAGACTATCGAGGAGTTCGCCGAGCACGCCGAATCGGACATGGAGGTGCTCGCCGAGCTCCACTGCCGCCTGCTCACCAGCGAGGGGGAGCTACGGCGGGTACTCCAGGCGAGAGATACAGCCATCGTCCTGCGAAGCCTTCGACGAGCAGTGACGATAGCCTCGACGGAGCAGATCCTCGTCGACCTAAAGGAGGGGAGATGGCCCGGTGAGGCGTCTCGACGTCGCTGTCGCCCTCCCCGTCCCCGCCGTCGCCCGTGCCCCGGTTCGCGTCATTGGTAGCGTTTCCGTTGCCCCCTCGTGCTCCGCCGTCGTCGCCCTCTCTGCTCGGGCCGTTCGCGATTTCGCTCCTCCTGCGTGTCGCCCCTCCGTCTCCTCCCCTGCCTTCGTCGTCATCGTCGCTGTCGCGAAAGCCCTCCGGTCCCTCGATTCCCTCGTCTATCCCCTCCGCTGCGTCGTCCCACACTCGCGCTGCGCCACTGTGAAATGGAACTAGCCCCACACGGTCCCGTTAGACTCATAACATGACTTCTCATCACACTCTCTCAAGCTAAGTCACACTCTCTCAGGCAATCTAAGGAGGCACTGGGGCGCATTCGCCCCGACCTTGGGCCGGGTCGCCGTCGCATACGATCCACAGGTTCTGACCCCAGGCTCCTTTGCCATCCGAGCTGTCGTACCTTGTAGCGGTCACGAATGTGCCCGATGAGGAACAGCGGATGTCGTCGTAATCGGCTGGGAGAAGATCCCGTCGTATCCTGCAGTTCAAGCAGTTGTAGAGTTCTCCCTGGTAGTTCTTGCAGGGGACCGTTTTCGGGGCGTGTTCAGAGTTGCAGCTTCCGGGCGCGGATGAGGCGTTTTGAGGCGTTTTGAGGCGTTTTGAGGCGCGCCTCCCCACGCCTATTTACGCCTCAAACGCCTACCCACACGCCTATCCGACGCCTAGGCGTACGCCTCCACGCATAGCCGTGTAACTTACGACGACCGGCGGGCATCTTTGCTTACACGACCACCGCCTTTCCAAGCGTGATGCAGCGCCGCTGCCATCCGTGCCTTGCCTTCTGCTGCGCCCGTGGGGCCGCAGACACAATCGTGGACGTACACTCCCCTCAGCCCGCCGCTGATCCCGACGGCGTTCAACTCACCGAGGGGAGCGGCAGAGAGGACCCCGGCCAAGGAGCAACATCCCTCGAGGCCCAAAAGGCGGCGGAAGGCAGCCCGGGAGGCGCGACGCCGGCGAGCGCACAGAGCTCCTGCCCAGCAGCGGCGACGACGGAAGCCACGGCTGCCGAGGCGACGGCAGCGGCAATCTCGACCACGCCCCAGCGGCCGCCCCACTTTGGGCCGGAGGCGCTGCTCGCCTCAATCGAGTGCGGCGCGATCGCCCCGCTGCGCGGCCGCTTTCTCGTCGAGTGGGCCGCGAGCGGGAAGCCGCTCCCACGCCGGCAGGACCTGCCGCCCGAAGCCTTCTTCCCGCTGGACGAGCTGCGCCGCCTCGTCGAGGCGCTGGGTGAGGACTGGGGCCTTCTCTTCGTCGCGCTCTCGTACCGCTGGCTGGCGAAGGACCACCCCGACCCGGAGCGCTTCCACCTGGAGACGTGGCGGCGGTGGCGCGGCTCTACCTGGACGGCGGGCCGGAGCGTCCAGGTGGAACGGGCGCGCTCAGCTCGCCGCTCGCCGGCGCCTTCGCAAGCGCGGGCCTCGGGGAGACAAACTTTGCCTTCTTCCAGGACTTCGCGTGCCTCTTCCAGAAGCCGCGCACGCCGGCGGAGGACGAGCTGTTCAAGCAGGGCCTCTCGCTGCTGGACGTCTGGTACGGGCACGAGCAGACGGTGTGCTGGCAGCAGTCGGAGCTGCCGCCCGGCTTTGCGGAGGAGATGGAGGCGCTCGGCCTTGCGAGGTCTTACGAGGAGAGCGGCTGGTGCTTTGTGGAGGCGGTGGTCTCGGCGGGGGTGAAGGTGGGGACGCGGCGGCTCGACCTCGGCAAGCGGACCGAGCTGGCGATGGGTTTTGCTTACGGCGACGGCGGCGACGGCGGCGTCCTCTGGCCTTCCCATATGAAGCTCGAGGGCGTGTGCGCGGCGCGGCGCCACCCGCCGCTGCAGCCCGACGAGGCCCGGCGGCTGCTCGTGACGGAGAAGAAGTTCACAACCGGCAAGGAGGACGTGGAGGTGGTGGACGCGCTATACCGCCGCTTCTTCGAGGGCGTTGCAGGCACGGCGACGGCTCTTGCCTTCAGCGGGCTCAAGTGGGGCCCTGCAGAAAGCAAGGCGTTGGCTGCCGTGCTGCCGCGGTTTGTGACGCTGGAGAGCCTCGACCTGTCGATGAACGAGCTGGGGGCGGAAGGAGCCACGGAACTCGCTGGGTACCTGCGCGTCAGCGCGTCGCTGACAGAGGTTCAGCTCGGCAGCAACCAGCTCAAGGACGAGGGTGTCACTGCCATCTGCAACGCGGTGAAGGATACTCGAGTATTCACTTCCCTCATTAGATTCTCTTTCGATGCAGCTGGGCTAGGCCATGAAGGCCAACTTGCCGTCGTCGGACAGGCCATGAAGGCCAACTTGCCGTCGTCGGACCCCGCCACAGCCGGGTCCTCACGGCGTAGCGCGCCGCCTCGCGAGTCGGTCATTGCGCGACGGAGCACGCCCGAGACCTTGCTGGGCGAGCGTCGCCGCCGGTCAAGCACGCGTCTGTCGCAAGAGTCTACCTTCGCCGGCCCATCGACCGCCAGGGAGGCCGCTGGGCGCCGTCGGCGCAGCAGGGTCGAGTCGCTCGAGGAGGCGACCCAGCAGGTAGTCGACAAGGCATTTGAGACGCTGATGATGCCTTCAATGCGCCTCGCCGCCGCGGGCGTCGCGTGCATCGTGGCGCCTCTGACGCTGCTGCTCCTTGCGCCTCTGACGCTGCTGCTGCTGCCGATTCTGGTGCCGCTCGGCCTGCTGCTGACCGCCGTGGGAGTCGCCCGCGCCGGTATCGTCGTCTCGATGGACGGGTCGAGGCAGCGCGCGCGCTCGCCGCGCTCGCCAGCCGACCGGTCGGGTCCGCAGGCGGAGGCAGCCTCGCGCTCGGAAGAGGCGTGTGCGACGCCGTCGTCCCGTCGCAAGCGGCGCGCGTCGTGGGGCTCGAGCAGCCGCGAGGGTCTGCCGCTCGACCGGCGCGCCTCGAGCGCCCAGGACCGGCCGTATCTCCCCATATCTCCCCATATCTCCCCATATCTCCCCATATCTCCCCATAAATCGAGCGCCCAGGATCGGCCGCCCGAACTGTCCCCGAACCTTCCGACGGCGATCGCTCTCTCAGCCGCCTCTGTCCCTGTCCCTGTGCCCGTGCCAGGACCTCACCAGCGGCGCAGTGCTCGACGGTTCGCTGTCGACGCTCAACTCGCTGACGGCGCAGCGCGGCGGCTCGCTGGTGCGGCAGGCGGGCGGCTTGTCCGAGGGACCAATAGCCTCCCACCCACCTCGCTTGAAGCCTCCCGGACCCTTCCCTCACCGCACTGCCTTCTCGGACCCTTCCCTCACCGCACTGCCTTCTCGGACCCTTCCCTCACCGCACTGCGTGAAGCTTCTCGGACCCTTCCCTCACCCAGCAGGTTGGCGAGCCGACCCGCGACAACACACCACACACCACAAACGATCCTCCCCCGGTGTGTCTTCGACTACAACTCTCTCAACTCTCCCGACAGGTCGGCGACCCCATATCTCCCCATATCTCCCCATATCTCCCCATATCTCCCCATATCTCCCCATATCTCCCCATATCTCCCCGTATCTCCCCGTATCTCCCCATATCTCCCCATATCTCCCGACAGGTTGGCGAGCTGCTCCGCGACAATGTCGCCCGCGCGACGCACGAGCTGCGCACTGAAGTGGAGGAGCAGCTCGCGGCGCTGCAGGCGCACACGCCACCGCCCACCGCCACCGCCACCGCCACCGCCACCGCCCACCGCCCACCGCCCACCGCCACCGCCCACCGCCACCGCCACCGCCCACCGCCACCGCCACCGCCACCGCCACCGCCACCGCCCACCGCCCGTATACCGCCCATGCCAACCTCCCACCGCGACCGCCCGCGACACGTCCACGACACGACACGCCCACGACACGCCCACGAAACACGCCCACGACACGCCCACGACACGCCCACGACACGCCCACGACACGTCCACGACACGTCCGCGACACGTCCACAGTCCCATTGGGCAATTGGGAGGGTGAGAGGACGCACCTTCCCCCTACAATAGTGGGTCGGGTGCGATCTCGGGCG